AGACTTCGAAGGAAGTCATGATACAGAAAATTGTTTTGAATTTTATAAATTTTATTTCTCTCTCTTTTTTTCATTTGGTTTGATCATTTCTTTCATTTGGTTTAGACAAGTACTCTCTTGATCACTGCATCAAGATTGACACTTTACCAGGGCGTATCTGGGCTCGTTCTGATAAATCGTGCCGACCCGGGTCCAGTTGAAATGCAGAAGCAACGCCACTCGCGGTGCGTTGAGGGCGTTTTCCGACGGCACGACCCTAAAGAAATTCGGGAAGCTATTGGTTGTGAACATAGGATGGGTGTCCGCGTAGCTGAGCTGCAACAGTAAGAGTAGGAGAGCGAACGTTGATAAAGAATCATATCTCTCTTACGTGTTCGTTTCTTTTTTTTTTTATCATCCTCTCTATACGTGTCTGTGTGTTAGTATGCAAATAAGCCAAAGAGCAAGCAAGGAGAACTGTCTTCCGCAAGTCATGAATATTTACGACGACGTTTTACCGTCGCATTACCTGCGTAAGGCGCCAGTGTTTCGAGGCTTTCGCTATCGGGTCCGTGACTTGTGTGCAAGCTCCGCCGAAGAGTATCACCTTGTGCGGCCCGCTGTGCACCATGTCGAAGAACGCCTTCATCCCGACGGCGGCACTGCACTGCAATATATGCGATTTATTACCTACGTTCGTTTCCCTTGATACTTTCGCATTATGAAAGTATGAAATTTCAAGGCAATCTCGAGAAACGTATCTGGTGGAAATCAAGAAAATATCCGAGATATGAGGAACACTTTAAAATCGCAAAAAATATTGGACGTAATATGGGGAAATGCGTCGTATGTTACTTTTTCTCGATGTTTTCACGGTTCGTGTTTGCTTTCAAGATGAAAAGTGATCATTTCTTATATCGAAAATCTTCTTTGATATTTGCAGAATCAACAAGTGTTTGTTGGTGTACAGCCAGAAAATAGAGAAGAACGGAGAATAGAATGCCAAATCGGCAGGGAGGGGTAAATATTATCATAATATCGACATTGTTCTAATTATCGGAAGATTAGTCCGGAATGCTTGTGTGTGCGCGGGATTAAAATTGTGATATTAATAAACGCAAGTAACACACTCTTTGATTTTATTTACCTCGGAGAGAGGCAGCGCAGAGAACTCTAACTATTCGTATATTATAATGGATTTTTCTATAATGAAAATAGGGAAAGTATTTTAAATATTTCCTGTCGAAGGAAAAACTTTGTTCTCGAAAGTTGAATTTTTGCTGAAATAAATATAATGCGAACGGATAGAATGCGAGCTCTTTGTGCGTTGTAGCTGAAATAACAGTTAAAAA